CAATTCCTTTTACAACAATTTATGGAAAATAAGATAATTCTACTAAAAAATTCCTATAGCTCTAGTTATTCAATAGCATGTGCCAGGCTCCATGGCTGTCTGGTAGACCTAAGCAATTACGATGTGCAGGTTGTCATGAGTTTCTTCTCATCTTCCTTCTTCCACTCTTCTATTTTTCCAACTCCCATGTACTTCTCCTATATTGTTGGTGCTACTGATAATCACACTCACCAATACACTCCCCTGCCTGCACATATTCACATTGTCTCCCAACCCAGCCCCTCTATACTCCTCCAGTAAGGGGACCAGTTAGGAAATGGTAGGGCCATTTCTGCTACCATTTGGCCCTACGTAATTCTTTTTTTAATTTTTATTTTCTATTTTTTTTGCCCCCAGGGAAATAAACAACTCTCTGGGGAAAGGCAAGGAGATGTAATAAGATCCACTTCCTAAGAGCCATTTCTAGGATATGGGCAATGGGCTCTGATAATTCATAGATGCCATTTATTTTTAATCTCATTTTTGGGCAGTTCATGAAATCCCTGAGAATCCACATTCCCAAACTGGAATCAAATAGTGAGAAAAGAATGAATCAAAATGTACAAAACATAAAATGAATATGATTGTATACATTGGACAGAAATTACTGACCTAATACGCACTTCTGACCAAGCAGAAGTAACAAGGACCAGACTTGTCTTTGGGTATTAACCAATTAAAAATCCAAATAAAATCTATGAAACAAGATAGTGGACATCAGGAAATGAGGACAATGGTGCCCAAGAGACAGAAAACAAATGAGGTGAGCTCCATTCTTCCCTGAGATTACTGCTTTAAGAGTTCCAGTTACAGTTCAGAGAAGGGAAACCCAAGCAGAGCCCAGCCCACTGTGAGTTGAGGAGAGGGATCTGAATATTTCTGGAAGGCCAAGGTAGCTAGAGTTCGCAGGATACACTCTTAGGAGAGAGGCTCACAGAGTGAGAATGCTAGAGATCTGCAGAGGGTCTCCTCACCCCTTCCTCACTTGAATTCTGCAAGTTCTGATATGGAGGTGTTTTTGGGGGTGTGTGTGTATGTATGCTATTATTCAGTTGTAGAAATTTTTTTTTTTAAAGATTTTATTTATTTATTTGAGACAGAATGAGAGAGAGAGAGAGCTCATGAGAGGGGGGAGGGTCAGAGGGAGAAGCAGGCTCCCCGCCAAGCAGGGAGCCCGTTGCGGGACTCGATCCCGGGACTCCAGGATCATGACCGGAGCCGAAGGCAGTCGCTTAACTGACTGAGCCACCCAGGCGCCCCCAGTTGTAGAAATGTTTTAATTTCAATTATGATTTCTTCTGTGGCTCATGGGTCACTTAGTGGTCATTTCTTCATTAAGTCACTTATTTTCCAAACTTATATTTTTTTAGTTGATTAGCCCATTGTGGTCACTGAATATGATAGCAAATTTATTGAGCCTTTTTTTTTTCTTACTCCATTTTTTGGGAGGTTGTTCTGTGGTTTTACATTCTACCTCTATTTTTTTGTGGTTACACTTGAAAACCTAAACTTTATATTTAACTTAGCAAAACCTAAAGTTAAACAGTATCTCTATTATCTTCTAGAGAAATACAAGGACCTTAGAACACTAATTCCTTTAACTTCCCTTTTTATTTATATGCTATTCTAGCCAAGCATCTTCTTCCTTTTCAAATTCTAGATTATTGTGTTATTTAATTTAGTTCATGTTTGTTTAAAATGTTTGCTACTTTCTTTGCTCTTAATTTCTATTGAGCTGCCAGGCTGAGGTGGTCGATTAGGACAATTAGCCAAAATGATATTAACAATAATGCCTTTACTACTTACTGAGACAGTGTAAACAAGATGCAAAAATAGACACCAGTTCCCCAATGTTCCATTTTCCCCCACAGAATGGTGCCAGGCAAGAGTCAGGTGAATCAGCACAGATGAAGGAGAATCTTAACTGCCAAAGAGCTCTGAACAAAAGACTCCTGCCATTTTATGGACTTGGGGTGGAGCCAGGGAGGAGAGAGGGTGGGGAAAGGGCCAGAGTGGAAAGAACTGAGTCACAGTAGACAAAAGTATCTTAGTCAAGATTCCCAAAAAGGAGGCCTCTGAATGGAGATGTTGGGCTTGGAATGCAGATATGTTTATAAGCATGGCTGGCCCAGAGATCCTGAGTCCTTGACTGCAACTCCCTTCAGAAAACTATAATGCACCAGCTGGGTACCAAGTCTTGCATGAGGAGGATAGCTTTCCCCTGTGAGGCCTGCCAGGCAAAGTCCTTGTAATAATTGCCTTGTAGTTGGGCCTAAAAGATCACTGATCTTTCATGTGGAGCCAACACTCTTCATTTCTTGTCTTCACTCTAGGACCATTGAGTTTTGCCAGGAGTACACATTTTCACATTTCCTTTAGTGAAGGTCTGCTGGTGGTAAACTCTCTGTTTTTATTTGCCTGAAAATATCCTTATTTTGTTCTTGTTCTTGAATGATACTTCTGAGCATAGAATTTTTAGGTTGACAAATTTGTCTCTTAGCATGTTTCCAATGTCTTCTGACTTGCACTGTTGCTATTATTAAGAAGTTAGCTATTATTAATTGTCGCTCCTTTTAAAATAATTCATCGCTTCTCTCTTGGTTCAAAGATCTTCACTTTTGTGGTCTACAGTTTCTCTACCATATGTCTTAGGGTAGATTTCTTCTCATTTCTGCTGTTTGGGATTCACTGGACTTCTTGACTGTGTGAACTGATCTAATTCATTATTTCTGGAAGATTTTCATTTATTATTTCTTCTTATTCTCATGTTCTATATTATTTTTTCTCATTTATTATAATTCTTTGTCCTACTTTTTCTTTTTTGCAACCCTGATTAAATATATATTAGATGATCTAACTCTACCTTTCACATTTCTTAACCTTTCATTCATATTTTCCATATCTTTTTCATTCTGTGATAAATTCTCATTGGTTTCTTCACTATTCTTTCGGTTCATGAATTCTCTCATCTGCAGTTAAACTGGCCCTCTAATATTTTTTTTAAAGATTTTATTTATTTATTTGACAGAGAGAGAGATAGCGAGAGCAGGAACACAAGCAGGAGGAGTGTGAGAGGGAGAAGCGGGCTTCCCGCTGAGCAGGGAGTCCGATGCGGGGCTCGATCCCAGGAAGCTGGGATCATGACCTGAGCCAAAGGCAGACGCTTAACAACTGAGCCGCTCAGGCGCCCCTGACTCTCTAATTTTTAAATTTCACTTCCAGTTGTCTATATTTCTTGAAGTTCTGTTTGTTGTTGTTGTTATTTTTTTTTTTACAATATGCCTGTTCACTTTTTATAGCCCTGTGCTCTCTCACTCAATTTTCAATCTCTTCTTTTACTTCCTTAAACATAATAGAGTTTAGAAAATTCTCAATCTAAAAATTCCAGTATCAGAGGACACTGCAGGTTAATTATGGTTTGTTTGTTTTTTTAGTTTGTTTTTGCTCAGAATGTTATGGGTCTTTCTTTTTGTTTTCTGTTTTTTTAGTTTTTTTTCTTTTGACTGTGAGTTCATATTATCGTAACTTTATCTGTGGGAATTTCTTCGGACCCTCCACTCAGCACTTATTCAATAATGGTAATTTTCTTTGCAGTCTTCAAATTTATTTTTAGTTCACCATAGTATTGAGGTATAATCCTTTGAGGTCTCAATTTTATTGGGGGGTCTCTAGTATCCTTAATATGGCAGGCTTTGGGATTTGTCTACAGTCCTCTGAACCCTGAAAAGCAGTGAAAATGGAAGTGTAGTTCACCACCTTCTGCAAATTTTCTCAAAGAGAAAGGTGGTTTAATGTTCTGTGTCTCCCTCTTGCTTCTTGCCTTCAGTTAATTTTTTGTCTAATATTCTTTACCTTTTAACCAGTTAACTCATACATTTAAGAAACCGTTTCTCAGATGGTATCCAGAATTTTTGGTTTTCAGTGTAAGCGTCAAAGTACCAGTTTGCTGCCTTGCCAGAAATGAAAGACCTACTGTGTCTGTCAATCCTTTTAATTATTACCATTAATAAAACTGATACTTTGTCTTCTCCTTCTGGAAATTCAATTACATGTATGTTAGGTCCCTTGATACCCAATGACATGTATATTAGACCACATACATATTAGATCGCAACTCTTGGAAGCTCCATTCTGGTGCTTGTTTGTTTGTTTTCCTTCACTATTTCTTCCCTTCCTGTTTTAGTTTGGGCAATTTTTATCGACCTATATTCAAGTTCATCCATTCTTTCCTCAGCCTTGTTCAGTCTGCTAAAACACCCAACTAGGAAATGCTTCATCTCTGATACTATATTTTTTATTTTGGCATTGACATTTGACTCTTTTATAGTGTTCATCTCTCTGTTGAAATTCTTCTGTTCATACATGTAGTTCTAGATCTTTAATGTATCAATCGCAGTTATGTTAGAGTCCCCTCTGAAAGTTCCAGGTCATCTTTTAGTCTGGCTCTCTTACTTGCTTTAACTCTTGACAATGCATTTATTTTTTTCTTGCAGTTTTTTAAATTATTTTTTTAATTAAATACTGGACATTGTGTGTGGAAGAATAGTAGGTATTGTTCCCAGAGTGGACGAGGATCAATGTTTTCGCTCTATTGGGCCCTATAAGTATTATTTAGCCTCACTGGGCCTCAACTCCATTAACAGCAAAATGGGAATAAGCTCCAACTTCATAGAAATATTGTGTGAAATATATAAAACATAAATGTCAAATATTACTATCACTTGCCTGGTGATAGACCTTAGTCATTACGTTTAATAAGGCAACTAGATTATACACACTTGATTTTTATCTTCAAATGGTGACATCTTTTTTTCCTGTTAATTAAAAAAATTCACATTTCATTTTAAAAATTCTAATGAGATGAAAATGTACAAATTAGAAAGCCAAGTGCCTCCACACATTCAACTAAGACCATACTACAATTGTGTAGTCCTCAACTCCTTCAATAAATAACATGAAAATTGGTATCACTGCATTTGATTTAATGTTCATCAATACACACATAAAACCCAGAGATCTTCCAAATATTTATCCAGGATTTACTTTCAAAGTAGAAACAATAATTTTTACAGGTGGTATAAATAAAGGTCCCCACTGTGATTCCTACCATATTTTGACTCTATGTGGGGGTGAGGATCATTTCGTCCTCTAGAAACAGAGAATTTGGAAAGTATCAAGAAGGATGGTAACAGAAAGTATGAGAAAGTACTGTGCTTTGAAAATGGATCAGGTGAGAAGAAAGTGTTAGTTGAAGAGGGACTTCCTGGAGCTGCAGACCCAGCATTCCTGGCCAGAAAGGACGAAAGTGCTTTCTTTCCTGTTCTTGCTAAGACCTGGGCAGCATTTCCTCCATGTCCGCGATGACATAAGAGACAACAGCCCAAACAGCAGCAGCCACGTTCATCTGCTTTGGATCCATGACAGTCATGGTGTCTCCATGGGAGTGATGGAAGGAGAAATATTTATAGAGGTCATCAAGTAGACTGGCTCCTGGGGAGAAAAGAGGAAGAATTCTTAGTGAAGTATTTCAACAGAGATTGCTGAATAGCTGCTCAGAAACCATTGCTGCTCTTCCCTGCTTCATTCTTCCTGCTCCTACTATGCAGGCTGCAGGGGCAAAATCATTACTTTCCCAGGCTCTCTGGCAGCAAGAAATGGCCAAGTGAATACCATTCTTACTACTAGGATAGGAGTGGCAGGCTGTGGGAAAGTTCTAGGAAAGCCTTTACTTTGCTGACAAGAGTCAGGAAATGCCCTAGTGCTGCATAAAAGTAGATGAAAAGTTTGGAGCTGCATGGGGTAATAAAGCCCCCACACTAAAAATGGCCAAGTGGAAAGACAGAAGGAGCCTGGATTTCGGAAACACTGCTAGCCCACTGAATAGGCTCTACATTGCCTACTTCTGGACTATCTGCCACGTTAAAGAAGATAAAACTTTATTTAAGTAACTGATAGAAATGTCTTATTTATTTATAAAAAGATAATATCTGCTTTTGTATCTGCAAGAGTGCAAATTATGTACCTTCCTGGATTCAAAAGAAAGCCCATACTCTTTTGCTCAAGTTTTTTTGCTCAAATCATTCATATACTTCCCATGAAATTTCCCAACAACCTCTAAGGGCATCAGCAGGCACCTCTGCCCCACTTAAGAGCTTTCTTCTTTCTCTAGGGAAGCTTTTCTCTAGCTTCCACCATGGACCACAGCCTTGGGGAGTCTTTGCCCTCCGTTAGTCATCCTTCAAAACCTCCTGGGCCCAGTTTGTGGATTCCAACTGCAGTTCTTTATCCTCTGGCCTTATTTATTTATGTGTGGTGTTATTGTGAACTACACATACATAAGATTGAAGAGAACACAAATGCATATCAGGATGGGTGACAATATAAAAAGTATGCATATGTCCACAATCCACTGCAAGAAAGATACTACCAGTACTTTTGAAGCCCATTTTACGAGTTCCCCCACCCCTTGTTGAAACTTTCCTCCCTCCAGAGGTACCCACTTTCCCATTCTGCTTGTGTGTTAATCACTCCTTGATTTTTAAAAAATTAGTTTTACCATATATTTATATGGCATTACAAACAAACAAACAAACAAATAAATAAATAGTTTAATACTGTCTGCCTTTGAAACACATACACCAGACATATTTCTGTGACTTGGTTTTTCCACTCAGCGTGTATAGCTGTGGTATTTTCATTTTTTTTATTGCTGTACATTATTTCATTGAATTTATTTATCCATTTTCCTGATGATGGACATTTAGGTTGTTTCCAGTTTTCTGTTATTATATGTTGTTATCAGCATTCATTAGCATCTAAATAAAGGAATGGACATGCTGGGTTATAGAGTAGGTGTGTGTTTAATTTTATCGTGTAATTCCAAAATGTTGCCCTTTTCAGTGTGCACTTCTGCTGTCAGTATATGAGTCTTCCTCTTGTTTCACAAGAGCACTTGCTCTTGTCAAGCTAATATTTGCTAATCTGGTGGGTATGAAATATTATCTCATTATGGTTTTAACTTTAACTTTTAAAATTATTAATGAGATTGAGCATGTTTTCATATATGCATTTTTTTGTCATTTATGTTTGCTCTTTTGTAGAATACTTGCTCATGCCTTTTGCCCATTTTTCAATTGATTTGTCTTTCCTTATTGATTTGTAGGAATTCTTAAAATATTTTAGATACTAGGAATAAGAAGTGTCTTAATTACTACTAGTAGCTTAATTACTACTGCTTTCTATTTCTTGTAATTGGGCAGAGCAAATTCCCCCACCTTCTCTTCCCTCCTCTTCAGGAATGTCTTACTATTCTTAACTGAAGTTTGGAATCATTTTAAAATTGTACAAAAAATATTTTTGGATTTTGATGGAAACTGTGTAAATCTACATGTCAATTTGGGGAGAACTCACATCTTTATATTAGGCTATTGTGTTCTTATCCATGAAAATGGCATATTGATATTTCCTATTTATTGAAGTCTTCTGTAGCATCTTTAAAGTTTTGTGATACAGCTTGCACACCTTTTGTTAGTTTTCTTTTCTCCAAGGCTTATACTCTTTGTCACTAATTGTAAATTCTACATTTAAAAAAAATTGCATTTTCTATTTGTGGCTATCCATTTTTAGCATCAAGGATATATCTGATTCATAAAAAGGCAGGTGTTCCTTCTTTTGTACACTCTGGAGCAGTATGTGTAAGATTAGAATGATTCATTTCCTGTTTTTTTTTTTGTAGAACTCTTTACAAAACCATCTAAGTCTGATACTTTGCTTATGGTAAATATTTTAACTAATGATTCGATTTCTATCCTGGTTATTGGGCTATTGGGATTTTGTATTTCCTCTTGAATTAACTTTGGAAATTATATTTTTTAGGAATGTGTGAGTTTTGCCCAAATATTCAAAATAATCAAAATCAAAATAATCAGCATGAAGTTATCACTAATATCCTGTTTTTAACTCTGCTTATGTCTGCATGTATAGGAATGCACTTTTTTTCATTCTCCATATTAGTTATTAGTGTCTTCTCTCTTTTTCGTTCATCAGCCTTGCCAGCAGTTTGTCAGTCGTATTAGTTTTTTGAAAAAAAAAAGAAAAAGACAATTTTTTTAACACTCTCTACTATAGAGTGGTTTTTCTTCCATTGATTTCTACTCAAATTTATTGTATCCCTCCTTCTTCCTTCTTTGGCTTGATTTGCTTTTCTTTTTCTAACATCTTGAGTTGAATGTTCAGTTTATTGCTTTGCAGCTTTCTCTGTCTCCAGCATAAGCAATAAGGCTGCAATCTTCCTCCTACTGCTGCTTCAGCTATCTATATCCTGCCAATTCTGAGGAGTAGTTTCAAGATCACTCAGTTCTAAATATTCACCAATTCCTGGTTTGGTTTCTTTTCTTTGATACATAAGTTAGAATGTGTTTTCTAATTTTTAAAAGTATGGGGGTTCCCTTAGTTATTTTTTCATTATTGATTTCTAATTTAACTTACAGAGAATGCAGGCTATATGATACAGACTCTTTTCAATCTATTGAGATTTTCTCTGTGGCCTATTGTGTGATCCATTTTTATAAATGTTCCATGTGTGGAAAAGAATGTGCTTTCTGTGTGTTGTGTATATGCGTGAGATCAAGCTTGTTTCTTCAAATCTTTTAACACCTAACTTATTTATTGTCTATTTGAGCTATCAGTTTTGAGAGGGATATGTGAAAATGTCCCTCTGTGATTTTGGATATTTTTTTTGTAGTTCCAGCAATTTCTTTTTTATATATTTTAAACTTACAGTATTAGGGGCACACAAATTTAGAATTACAGCTTCCTGATAAATTGAACATCTTTATTAATGTGTAGTTATCCTCTTCATTTTTAGTAATGCTTTTTGTCTTGAAGTTAGCTTTTCCTAATATTTAATATAGCCATACCTTCTTCCTTTACCTTAGTATGTCTTCTCCCACCATTTTTTTAAAAGATTTTATTTCTTTGACAGAGAGAGAGAGCACAAGTAGGCAGAGAGGCAGGCAGAGGGAGAGGGAGAAACAGACTCTCCACTGAGCAGGGAGCCCAATATGGGGCTCGATCCCAGGACCACGGGATCATGACCTGAGCCGAAGGCAGCCGCTTAACCGACTGAGCCACCCAGGCGCCCCACTCCCCCATCATTTTACTTGCACTCTTCCTTGCTCCTTATGTTTTTAGAGGTTTCTCTTATGAAGACTTTAAAGTTGAATTTTAAAAATCTAGTCTAACAGCTTGAATTTTAACTGGACAGTATAATTTCTTTATGAAGACTGTGATTACTATTAAATTGAATTCATTTATGCCATCCTAGTTTTTGCGTTCTATTAGTTAATTTTGTTTTCTAGATTTGTTTTTTCCCCCTTTTCTTTCTTGCCTTCATCTGTGTTGATTTTTCCCCCTCCTATCATTCCTTTTCTCCCCCCTCCCACTCTACTAGTTTGAAGGTTACACGTTTTATTTCAATTCCTTCAGTGGAGACCTTAGAAATCACAGCTCACATACTTAGCCAAAGTTAATCAATATCTTATTTAAGGACACTAGGGCCCCTTTGTCTCCAGATGCACTCACTGCTCATTAAAAACCATGGTTCCGGGAAACAGATTGGCAGATACCCTCACACAAGATACCCTCTGCTAGGCTCCAAAGTTTTCTTACCTCTATCAATTCTTGCTTTATCATTTTTCATCTCTGAGGAATTCCCTTACTTTGCCTCACTAAGCCATGTATTATAGAAAGGCAATTATTGTTTTATCCACAATTATTTTTGGTGGGGAAAAATGTGTCTACAAACTTCTGGTCTACCATATTAAAAGCATTCTCTTCTCATAGTCCTCTACTTCCTGCCCTGTGGATTGGATCCTGTCCTTGTTTCTGAGACCTTCGTGGCCTCAGGATGTTGTCTAGATTTTCTCTATCCCAACCCAAGTTTTTAAAGCTTTGTGTCAAGGTTAATCTCTATCTATGTCCCCAGACTCCTTGCTCTGAAGTAGAATTTGGATTTATCTCCATTCATATTACACATTGAGTTCAGCTATGGTGCTATTAAACAAACATAAGCCGGTGAGGCAAAAAAATAAGTGTAAAAGAAAAACTCAAACCTCACCTCTGACAACTAATGACTCCAATGCCTGCTAGGAAATATCCAAAACAGGGCGTGTTCAGCTGACAATGCCTAGTAAACCCTTCACCCGTGTGGAGGAGAGTTCTTCCAATTCAATAATTTTTCTTTCTAAACTAGTAAAACATGTTTTCTGTTAGCCCGGTGGCTCTGAAAAAAGTGGGATCTGACCATCATCCAGCCTGATAATGTAACACCATCAGTGGCTGGGCTGGAGCTGAGGTCCACAAATATACAGAAGGTTCAATCCAGTTCAATTGGGTAAATACTTGAGTTCCTGCAATATTCTAGGCAGTGGTCTAAGGACTGAGGCAGGCATAAAGATGGAAAAAGACACAGCTGCTGCTCTCAAAAGAGACAGCTTTTGACAGAGTGTCCACAAGCAATAATAACACAGAATGTACTGAGTGCCACGAGGAAAGGACAAAGAAATAGCAGATGGCTCATGTAACTGAATGACCTTCTTTGGCCCCTAGACTAGGTCCCCTTGCTTTGTGCACTCCATACTTCTCTTATAATCTCCACCATCTTTTGTCATAATTGCACGTTTGAAATCTGATTTCCCCATTATACTGTAAGCTCCCTTAAGGTAAGGCCTCTGTTTTGTTCTCTACTCTGTCACCAATGCCTGTAACATAGTGCCAAATAGAAGACGAATGTGTATTTGTTGAGCTAATGAATGAAATTGGTGAATTTTATAAGTAAACTGGGCCTTGAAGGTGCTGTACCAGAGTCCTTGTAGGAAACAGATGGGATGCTCCAAAAAGGTAACTTGGAGAATTTGATGAAAGGACTATTTACAAAGAGTGGTCGGGGTTAAATAAAGCTCAGAAGAGATGCTGATACATCCTAGGGCTGGCAACAAAGAAGCCATTACCATTCTTAGGCTTAGAAGGCAAAAAAAAGCAGCTCTGGCTGCAGGAGAGGGTCACCAGAGGAGTAGTGGCTATTTGTACAAGCCAGGGGATCAATCAGTTTCCTGCTGGTGCCTCCTGTAGCCTATGGGGCCTCCCCATGGCCAAACCCAATCATAAGCCAGAGGGAAGGAGTGATTTGTTAATGCAGTCCATAACAGTCTCCAGGGCCACAACATAGGGTAGAGAAAGGTGAGGACTGATATGGAATTGTAAAAGAGATTTTTAACATAAGTACTTAAGATGTCAACAGACAAGAGATGGGGTACAGACATTCCAGGTGAAAGAGTACATGGGCGTTCCAGTTTGGGTGATGTGTGTGTGTGGGTAACTTAGGTTAATTATTGGCAGATCAATTATTGGTAACCAACTGTGGAAGGTCCTGAATATAAGGCTGAAAATAGATGGAATGTAGTTCATAAATGGGGAGCCCTTAGGAACCAATGGGCAGGAAGGCGGGGAGACTGGAGTTGCACCTTAGGGAGATGCTACAGAGGAATATAGAGGTGGAGTTGTGTAAATACCATGGTAGTGAAGAGAAGGCTAGGGAAGAGGTATCATCTGGGGGGCAGGTGTCAAATACCAGGGCCACATGAGAATATCCTAGTTTCTGAAATTCTCTAGAAAGCATATGGATGAAGATAACCAAAATTCCCAGTGAAAAGGCCAGAGGTCCATTTTAAAACCAGAAGGTTCCTTATGTCATGATCTCACTGCACACCCAGGAGAGACAAATCTGTGCGTTTACTTTGGTAGGAGCAAGAAGCATTTTAACAGAAACAGTGACATTTCAGAACCAGTTGAAGCTGGTGAGGAGCATATGCTCTCTGGATCCCAGAGAGCATCAGGTGGAAAGCAAATTCATGTACAAGTTAAGGACAAAGTCAAGGAGTTCAAAGAGTGAAAGTCACTGAGGGTAGATGGAAGATGAATTAGAACCGTGTACATGAAGAAACAGGAAAGGACATTTCATTCCAGCAGACAGAGTATGGCTCACTTGGGGCTGTTTTCCTCCAATTCAGCGCTTCTTAAAGACACTGCATGATGGCTGACAGGAAAGGCTCTAAATTCCATATTGAAAAAACAGAAGCAAGATATACTTGTGTATGCCCTCTCCAGGCCTCTGAAATTCCCATTCAGGCTCAGCCTGAAAGAACTTGCCTGCCAGATGGGTGGGAATCTGGCTGCCTCCCCTCACAACTGGCATTTCCTCAGAGATCATCAAAGTTCCCGTGAACATTTCATACAACTAAAACAACTCCAGAAAATCCAATATTACCAGTGAGGATGCTGATAACCACAGGTGATACGAGGTGGTCCTGTTGGCTGCCTTGCAGCTTTGTCTCTGCAATTCCAAGGAGACATTTTATCAGTGACAGCTACTAGTCTCAAAGACCAGCACTGAGGGAGAGCCTGCACTGCAATTTCTGAGAGCACCTGACATGCTCTCATGGGTGGAAGGAATGTTAACTATCCCTGGGGATAAATTGCAGTCTCTTTTGACAGGTATATGAGCTCTGAACAGGGAATCATCAAATGCTTTTTAGAAATAGAAAGCTGGTAAGTAGGAGCCTGCTCTGAAGGCCAACATTCAGCTCCTGGAAATAAACTACAACATTATTAGGGCAGTTCACTGTTAGGAAATTATTTCTAAGGGAGGTTTGGAATTTAAGGATGTGAAGACATATCCTTGAATATGTCAGCCAAGAAGTTGGACCTACACAGGGAGATACAGCAGAGAACACAGGAGTTAGAGTCAGATAGGCCTGGGTTCAAATTCAAACTCTTCTGCTTAATAACTGGGTGACTTTGGGTAAATCATATAAGGCTTTTTAGCCTCCGTTTTCCCACTCATCAAATGGGGCTACTAAGATCTGACTTTCAAGGTTCTGGTGAAAATTAGTAGGCACTCAATTAATAGATGCTATAGATCCATAGGGATGACCCAATACATACACAGCAGCTTGATCAATTAAATGCAACTTGGAGGGACTTAAAATTATAATTTAATAAGTTAAAGTTCTGACAACTGTTCTTAAAGATGAAATAGCTGGACCACGACGTCTATTCTTTATGACCCCACCTTAACCTTGCTTGGATTATTTTTCCTTCTCCTCCTTCCCATCCCCTTCTCTCTCCTCCCCAAATCTGTTCTATAAACATTCATCTCAGAAAATATTTTCCAGCTGTTTGACTGGGTGAAAATGGTCCCATGAATATTGTAAGAAATATCCAACCTGCCCCATACTGTTCACACCAGATTCCAATCTTCACAGAGAGATCTCAGTAATGACTGTGGTCTGTGCAGAATACTGGAACAAGATTGAATACCTGCTAATTCCCAAAAATTTGGGGAGGGGTAAATATACAAAGATTCTCATAGCCTCCTCTTTTTGTAGGTTAACTCTCATTCATTTGTAATCAGTGCATTTTCATATACACAAATTAAGCAATTCATGGAATGAGAAGTTTTTGAAAGATTTGAAAGCTTTGAAAGTTTAAATTCAAGTCTGTTATTTCAGCATATACATTGGCTGCTGCAATGTTGCATGAAAGATGCACTAACAGGCAAGCAGCTCTGGAAAATCCATTTCTCCTTTATAAATAGATCTTGAACAGTCTGGGGTATGCAATTTAATTGCAATGGAATGTATTACAGACATTCCCCTGATCATAATTGTGGGGTTAGAGAAGAATGTTATGGTCTTATTCCCTGCAAGAAAATGGTCCCCCTAGAATCTATAAAATCTAAAAAGACATTTAAACTTTAATTAAAATTATTATTTCTTTTAGCAACATTATCAATGAAAAACATTACTGCCAAAACAATTAGAAAATCAATTCATGGACTTTGCAGACATTTAATCTTTCTTTTCAAAAAGGGCAGCTTTATCCCTACTGTATTAAATCTCATTGAAAATTAGAGTGACAAGCAGTTAATTAATAGCTTCCTAACCTATAGCTCTCCAGAAGAGAAAGCAACTTCTAAGTAGGAAAGGGAAAAAAAAAAAAAAAAACCCAGTAAATGAAAGGAAAGGACAGGACAGGAAAGGGAAGGGAAAACATCCCCAATCAAAACTCCATAAAAAGTATTATAATTTTAGTTTCTAAACTCTTAATTTATCCAAGAATTGCCGAGTCTATGTTAAAAAGGTTCAGGCATAAGCCTACAACTTCTATCTCTTTGTAAAGCTTGGATTGGCTGCTGGGATAACTTTGGCCACATAGCTTAAGTCACCACCATCAGACCTGGTGAGCCTCCAGTTCACATGTACCTGAACTCTGTGATAATGATTCATCTTTCCATAAAGTTGAAGAAGAACTATAGAGCAACAGCAAGACTAACTAATCCCTGCTGCACGAAGCTGGTACTACATACTCTCCCACAGCAGGAATAACAAGGACACAATGTGTTGAGTGCTTCCTGTGTGCTTAGGACTTTATGGAGATGATTTTATGTAGTTCTCCCAGTGACCCCATGAAGGGATGGTCATCACGTGTCATTAACAAATAGAAAATAGATTTAAGGAACTTGTCTAAAGTTGTACAATAGTAAGTGGTAGAGATAGGATTCAAATCCAGGTGTCTCTGATCTAAAAACTGTGCTCCTAACCAGTGTTCTATACTTTCTCTCACTGCCCTATCCCAGGAATCTGTAACTACTTTCTCCCCAGTGGGTAACTATTTGCACAATTTATCCCATTCACTGCTCTGGTCCCCCATACCAATTTCTGCCTCATGACATGGAGACAGAAATTCAAATAGGAGGTGTCCTGGACCATAAAACAGTGAAGAATTATGTTCATACAGTGGGCAGCCTGGGACTGCCTATCAGAAGATGAACAGCAGAGCCCATCTGTCACCAAGTCCTCTGCTCTGTCTGGGCCACACTCTCAAGGGCCTGCCAGTCCTCCTGAGAGTTCCCGGACCATTCTATCTAGAACTCCTCCCCCTGATCCCTCGTTATCCCCCTTTTCACTGTTTAAAAGTATATTATTCTTGTAATGGTTTTATAATTTGCTGCTTGTCTTTCCCATTGGAATATAAGCTCCATAAGGGCAAGAACTTGGTCTTTTTGTCCCAATTCCCAACGCCTGGCATGTAATAGAAGCTCAATAAATATTTGTTGACTCACTAAATGGATAAATGAAAGAATTATTAAATATCAAATTGGACAGAAGTAGAGAAGAATATTGATTGGTTTCATCCTCTCTCTCTCCAGCCACTCTTGGTATGTAAAGCCTACTTTCCTAGGATTCTATTCTCAGCTCTTGCCAAGCAGGTTCTCATTACTAAAAACATGTGATATTTCATATACAAGCTGAGATCCAAATGCTCTCTTACAGATTACACAATATGTTCTTGTACCTTTCACCACTGTTAGAGAAATCAGCCACAACTTGAAAATAGGGCAAAAAGGTGGGCAGCATATGTTTTCAATGTCATTCAGGAGCAAAGTCCACCTAAAGATTTCCTAGGAGAATGTATTTAGTTTGACTCACTGCTTACTATTGATTAAAGGTCACAGACTTAGTGAATTTATATTTTAACTCATAGATTTTTGTCTAGTAGAGATGAAAATGATTTCTGTCCCAAAGAACAGATAATCCCAAAGGTTACAATTTATTGGCCTTTAAGACATTAACCAGTTTTTATCTAATCTAGCAATCTCATCCTAATATTTCTTTATTAAATTGCCTAGTTTCTCAAATGCTCTATAAATTGGTATTAATATCTTACTGGATTCCTTATCAATTAATTGAATAAAATTCTTTGACATGTATTTATTTTATATTTGCATGAACATCATGATTTTACCTTTTAGAAAATTATAACTTAATACCACCCATCTATAAACCATAAAAGAAAAATCACATTCTCACTTCTCAAAAGTTAAGTTTCTCACAAAGTCATCATCTATAATTTTATCCATGAGCACCCGAATAAGCAAAAGCACTGAGCACTGGATAGATATATATATCTGTGTTTCTGTGGCTATAATATGGGCCTTGTCCTTAACATCTCCCGACCCGTTAATATCCTTATTTATCTCTTGAACTGCTTTCCACCTTCCACATGAGAGTCATGCTTTTACCTTTTAGAACATTATAATTTAATACCATCTACCTACAAACCTTAAGTAAACAATCACATTTGTATGTAATAAGGTCCTTATCTTTGGGTTTATGATTTATGTGTGTGCATGTGTATTTATAGCTTCAGATATAGTTGTAAAGAAACACCCATACCACTCTGTCCTTCTGTATGTTTTTGTAACACAAAATAACATCGACACTTGTTTGGGAGGGGTAATTTTGAATCTTACTCATTTTTATATGTTGGTCTTAATTTATCATTCTCCCTTTGTCCATACAGAACTTATCCACTCTTCTTTCATGCCTCATGTCAGTAAAATTCCCACCTATCTGAGCCAATGTGATTCCTTGTAAATGCTTTTCTGCAGTTTCTCTCCACACTTGGGGAATGATGCTCACTAAGAAAACATCAGTAAAAATGGTTTCTGACAGAGCATACTGTCAGAACATTCAATGTATGTGGGTCTTGAACTTAAGAAGACTCTAAAAATTGTTTCTAGTGTGATATTTACAATGAAAGCCTTAAAATTATCCTGGGTCTTCCTATAATTGTGCTCATACGAACAGATTTTGATTTCTGGCTACAGATGCAAAAAAGTTACAAAGCTACTGTGCAATAGAAGGCAGGTGTTAAGATATAAACCTTTGTCTCTACTTGCCACCTCCCATTCTGTTGGCAAGCAGAGACAAAGGAATGAGACAAATTGTAAGTATTACATGGACATGCTGTTCTAGACTTATTTCTCATACTGAATTTGATAATTCTGCAAGGCTGGTTGGCAGGAGTACTGCAGAAATGCCTGGGTGACATGGGAGAGCTGGAGCCCCAATTTTGTCACCCACTATTCAATGATTATGGTATTGAAGGCCAACTGGTTGATAGGAAGATGTCCGTTCATGAAAGAGGTCACAAGGGAGACTCTATGAACCTCTGACCAGTGATTCTCACTTCCCCCATGGCCAGGCTAATGGATTTATAAAATCCAAGCACTTAAACACATAGTTTATAGGGAAAAAAATCATGGCTTTTGTAAGAGGAAGCCTTGGCTTCTTTATGATCATTAAAAAGGTAAAAAAAAAAAAAAAGGTTGTGAACAAAGAGAAAAGAGTTTTTTACCTATTCAAAGAACCTTTGATTAAACTATGCTACAACCAAAAATGTTGACGTGCTGTGGAATTGAATGTTTTGTTGTGCGTACAGAACTACCTGGCTATGAGACAAAAAAAAAAAAGCAACAAGTATTTCTCTGCAAGGAAGTC